AGAGTTGAAAAAAGCAGACCAGCCTTCAGGAACACAAACCCTCCTTCACCAAGCCCAGCACCACTGGTGAAGGGAAGGCGGAGCAATAGCTCCCTTCTCTCAGGAACGTTAACCATTGCTGTGGGACGGGTCTGGCAAGGATTTTATACTGTCTGAACCCAACCGTTTATTTTTTTGCATGGCATTTATATTTTCAATTTTTATATTATTAAAAGCTAGTTTAAACTAAATTTGTTGACTACTGCAGCACAGCAAGAATTCATACACTTCAGCTCTTGCATTCTTTGCGACACCTGCCTGGACGTAAACTCACACCTCTCCCCGCTGCTTAGCACAGGTCTTTTTGGTAAGATGTCTCTGTGTCTCTGTGTCTCGGAATAGGATTTCTCATTACCCGAGATTATATCAGCTCCTGCTGATTGTTTTTCACTTCATGTTCTTAACCTTCTGCAGCTGACATCCCAATCATCTTTGCAGCAACTGAGCTGTCAAATGCAAGGCTGAGACTGCGATCAGAGAGAGCGCACCAGCAGGAAGACAGTGAATTTGTATGGAGCAGAAAGCTGGTGCTTGTCTGCATCTACCCGATTGTAACAGTAGAGAAACAAACAGAAAGAGCTGCATCTTTACACTTAGAAGAGTGAAATTCTGGTGCAAAATAAAACATATCTTCACTATCTATCCAGTCTACCTTTCATTTATTCAACATTCCTTTCTTTTTTGTTTTCTCACTGAACAGGGAAGTTGGGTTGTGAATGTTTTAAGAGGAAAAAACCCACAACACAAGCAAACACCTGCAAGTCTGCAGTCCAAACTCTATTCTTTTAAAAATCCAGGTAAGACACCAACCATGTAACTGGGAGCAAAACAGGTATCTTGGGAGAAAAATCTTATTATGAAAGGCGATTTGAGGGAGAGCAAGGCGTGCTCTCCGAATTCCCTTAAACTGCAAGCCTGAGGTTTGTTGCTAAAAACAAGAAGATAAGCTCTCTCACCTTTTTCCCTTCCTAAGCACATTGGTGAATTTCAGGCTGGACGTTTCTAAATCACTGCTAAATACATTAACAGTATGTCCGTGTTGAGTAGCACAGTATTGCTCAAGAGCAAGCCCCCTCTCAGCAGCCCAACTGTATAAATATATACAGCCAGTTACAAAATCCATCATTACCTTTTGATAGGTTTTGCAGAAAATGTGACAAACTAGACATGGATTAGACATTAGCTGTACTCCAAAATGTTATAAAACACTCTTCTGAATCCCCTATTATATAAAACATTATAAAAATAAGATTTTTACCTTAATACTTAACCAGCATTGACTACCACTAATATTTTTTAAAAAGTTTAATAAAAACTAGGGGTAGCCCAAACAAGGGTTTAATGTTGCTTTAGCCCCAGGCCATCCCTGGGCATTCATTTCACAAAATGAGACAGAGAGAGGATAAAATCCTGCTGAACTGCAGCTCTGTCTTGAAGGCAGACCTCCTGCGAACAAACCTCCTTTTCATACATGCGACAGCAGCAAACCGCTCTCCTTCAACCTCCGGCCTGAGAGAGCAGCTGTTCACCCGTCAACAGGAAAGCTCCTCTGGCACGGTGCCCCCAGAGCCTGCAAGAACTTAGCAAGTCGTACACAACCAGATGCAAAAATCCGTCAAACAAATGCTGAGTTACCAAAGTTAAAGGTAACGCAAAGCTTTTAACTGAGTTCCTCTAAGTGAAGGCATACTTCCTATTCCTTTGGCGAAAATGAGAAAACCTCACGTATGTTGTTCTGAAATGTTTTCAGGGACAAGGCTAGCAAAGATAACTTACCACCAGTCACTCATATTTTCATCAGAATCCTCTGGATCTGCTCTAATCATTAAATGCCACCCTGGTATCTATGCTAGCTTTTCCACTGGAACTACATCAAGGGTAGCTTTTTAAGGTAAAGAATACTAAAATAAGCAGCAAAGCGCTTGATGGCAGAAAAGGACCAAGGTCCATCTTGTTACCACGGTTTAGTCATACATAGATCATGAAGTAAAATGAAAAGCAGAGAGAAAACAGCGGGGTAGGTACAGTATGGCTCCAGTTGTGATGGCACATACAGGGTGATGCCTACATACTGTTAAAGATGCCAAGTCTCTGATTTCTCTTTCGGGAAAGCCAAAGCCAAATGAAATACATATAATTAGCAGGAAAACACACTGAAGTGATATAGTAAAGGGTAGAATAAGCAAACTTCCCACCAGGTAGGTATCAGTAATTTTTATTAAACTCTACTTTTACCTCAGGATTTAAAAGTTTGGCTAAGTAAATTATCACAGTGCTTGCAGTAAAACCATTTAAACTGAAAGTCCCCCTTACCCCTTCCTTCTCTTGTTTTACAATCTCCTGAAGAAAGATTCAGTCCCCCTAACATGAAACTCTACATATACTTGCCCGTGGAGGAAGGAGCTGGCTGGTGCCAGAGTTACCCTACTCAGGCATCGTAATAGTTAACTTGGTTTTGCTCCTGCCCTCCTCCCCAGTACCACTGGGAGAGCACCGGGATTTCTCTGCTAAGGGATGGGGGAAGTACGCACAGTCCTAGCACAGGGGAAAGGTGAGGCCAAGGAACCTCGGCACTGGGGACCTTGGTGCAGGACAGAGAAGGAAATGGGAGAAGTGCAGAGACTGGAGCAGTCAGGAAGGACCTGGGGGAAAGAGACAGGGGGGAAGGAAAGCCCACAGGCAGTTTGTCAGTGAGCAAGCCTGTGCGTACATACAGGCGGGCCCCGCTATTTGCCCAGGGGAGGGGAGGGATACAGCCTCCCTCACGTGTCATGAGTTCAGCCCCAAAACATGCCAACTCCTTGAAATATTTATATAGACAGAAATCCAAGTAGCACCATTTTGCCTGATACACACCTAGACCCCCAAAGTGCATGCAATTCAAGCAGAGGATGAACAAAGACAAAAACAACTGCTCTCCCCTGCAATAAACAGGTATCAGTCAAGTGATTAAAAATTTATTCCCACCCTACACATGGTATCCAAAGAAACAATACATACAAAGATCTATTTATCCCACGATTACACAAGCCTCCTGGATTTAATATTTTGAACCATACAGCAAAGTTCAAGATACTTTATTTGTTAGATACAACAGGAAAATCTCAAATGAGAGTTCTTGAACGTATGAAAAAAAATCACGTCACTTAAGTGACCTCCACGACTTATACACTGCAGCAACAAACTGTATTTATAATGTATTGTTTTAATGATACTGTTAACTTTCTCTTGCAGATCTGCTCCTCTCCATAAGGAGTCTTTTGTATTTTCAGACATGGTTCTTTTGTTCATTCTAACACTTTATATTTACATCAGTCTCATCCCAAATATTGTTGTCATACAGGCTTCTAATTCAGTTGTTCTTCTCTAACTGTAAGAGTCTTTGCAGTCTATCTACATTTTAGAAGCACTTGTGCACAGCACAAATTAATGCAAATGGCTTTCTCAGTGTACGTACTGAAGGATGTGCATCCAGAGACTGACTGCCTGAACGCATCTTTCAGTAGTCCAGGCTGTATTTTTAAACTGATTATAGATTTATAAAAATGTATACAAAAAATTATCCTTGGACCAGTCTAAGACACAGTTGGTAAAGGTGTAAAATTATTCAGGTATTTCTAACTCTGAAATGATATAGAGTATTATGGTGTAAACTTAGGTTACACAGAGATACAACTTTTTCTTAAATCAAGAACTCCGTAACAGAATAAATAATTTACAAGCTTGAGAAGATCTGCATTGTTTCTTACCCAAGGACTTGTTACCTATATTGTAAAAAGCTCAGAGGAATTAAATATCATTTCTGTCGGTGGTTGTAAAACTTAAATACCTGGTTTTGTTCACGTAATTCCCCTCTTTAAATCTGCTAGAGGTAGATGACGATAAAATGAACCCCAAAATGTAAGGATTAAGACACTGCAAATAAATTCTAAACCTGCAATCTAGCGAACATATGTTCTCACCAGATTTACTGAAAGCAGTTATTTTTTTCTTTCTTTTTTTAAATAGAACAGCACCCAACTTCTTCCTTCCACGTTGTCAAAATCAGTGCTTGGTACTGGCATAAAATAATTTTCAAAGCGTTCCCAAATTAGAGCAGAAGCAGGTCCCACCTCACGCTCTTCAGTCACCCCGATACATTTCCGGGGACTGTCTGTTGAGGAAACGCTGCCTACCCAGCACTGCCCAGACAGCCCCCGGGCCTCCCCACGAAACAACAGCAGACAAACCTGCAGATCCCACCGAGCGTAACTCTTGGGGAGAGGTGTGGGAGCGAGGGAGGTGGGGTTGAAGGCAGGAGAGAGAACCGGCAGCCTTCACATCCATTACAGATGGTGACCTTTCCGAAGATTTCTCCAAAAATATTTTTAGTATGGGTGTCTGCGTGCAAGGGCTGCAAAATATTTGGTTATTACCACAAAATCAGAGATTTTATTCGGGTGACGAGTATTTACAAGATCTCATGTAAAGCCTTGGTTTTGGCATAGAGAAAATTATAAAGCAGCAACAGAATTTTCTAAAACATGACTGACTTCATTAATGTCCTGACAGACCAAAAGAAAAAATTTAAGATGAACTGTTTAGATCTGATTTCCTAGTTTTCTATAGCTTGGCCTGTGGCTTCAAGTTTTCCAATGTCTCCTCTAGGCTCTCTCCACCTGTAATTTTATCTACTTTCTTCAGCCAAAATTTATCAATACGTTGAAGCCAAACATACGTAAGAAAGCATAGAAGAAATACGAATGAGCTTGGCATCCATTTTTAAAACTACTGAACAAAGTATGTTTCCTCTTCGTCCTTCACCAGACAAAAAGGAGGAAGCATCACTACATACCAGAACACCTGCATAAAAATGCCTCCAAGTTTCTTCACAACAGTAATACTGGCATGATCACAAAGACAGGATTCCTTTTCTTTCTCTGTATTGTAACTGTAGACATCATGATCTCATTTGGTATGCAAAAAATATAATTACTTCAGTACAATTTCCACAGCAATTTGAAGTGTGCCATTTTCTCTTTTAAGTTACCATTTAAATTTAATGAAAACGATAGGACGGACTGAGATGGCAAAAACCCCAGCATTTTACATAATTCAGTTTGTTTGGTTTAGTTACAGAATAACGATCCTGGCTGTTAAACTAAGACCATAGATCTAAATGAACGAGGCAATTTTGTGCATTCTACAATCAATGCATATTTAAATACTTGTTTTCCTTCACAATATTATTAATCTCCAGAAACCCTTGCTTTATGGACGCTGAACCAATTTACTCTTACTGCTTTCCTGCTCGCTAAGCTTGAAGTGGGTGTAAGCTAAAATGCCCAACAATGTGCACAGAATCCCAAGGCCTTGATTAACAGACAGTGGATCCTTAAATAAGAGGCACCCTCCCAGGAGGGTGATGCAGAACTTGAAATGTCCAAACATGTTATACCTAGACATCTGTTAAGGATAATAGCAAATACCAGTATTATTTTTTGTAAAAAGAAACACTTGGGAACTTCATTAATTACATCCAAAGCATGCAACGCTGTGTCACATTGACTTCAACTCATGCAGCTTTCCCGCATCTCTGCGGCTATGAGAATTAGCCTCCACGTGAAGCCTTTTCACCCATCGTACACTACAAACTAACTGACACGCCAACACTTCCTCAAGGTAGCCAAAGTGTGGGTAAATATTTTTTTGTAGGTATGAAGGTCACGTCAGTAAGTTAACTGCCATATCTATACAAACCCTGAACAAAGAAACAAAATACACTAAAACATGAACGTGCTTTTCCAGCTTCATCATTTAAGATAAAGCAGGCAGGTTACCAAACAATTTTCCCACAGTAAATCAGCCCAAATGAATGCTAACATAATTCATCTGGAAACAGGAGAAACAACTAATGTTACAAAGGATACGTGACAGGTGACGTATTTCCAATGATCCAGTAAATGGACAAGTTTACCATAAAGGCTATTATACCAGACAGCAGTACCATTATCTGTGGATTAATGGACACAGTCAGTAATCCGACATGCTTTTGGCCTTTTGTAGATACATTTCAGGTTATTTAGTCAGTTTCCTTTACTTTCAAATGCACAGTATCAGGCAAGAAAAACATATGGAGAGCAAAACCAGAAACAGCTTCAAATCAGTACAGACACTGGTGATGTGTATAAGTAGCTCAGGGTATGATGTCCATAAATATATACTGATACAACGACAAGCCTTTTCTCCTTTACTGTCAGTGAACATTTAAGAGTGATTTGGAAAATCTGGCTACTCATACACATACAAGTTGTATTCTTTACCTTTGAGACAAAGTCTTGTTTATGGTCACACATACGAAAAAAAACATTTTGGAAAAATATCCGATTTTATTATTGTGAATACTTGCTATTCCATTCATAAACGGCAGCACTACAAGAAATGACCCATCACTCAGTGGCACGATCAGCAGTGGTAAGAATACGCCACTGGCTCTTTTTTGAAGAGAAGGACAAAGAGAGAAATTACAGCCTTCTTGGTGAAAATAAACTAGCAATTCCAGAGAACAACCAATGCTGGCATCCTTCCACAGAAGAGGAGCTGAGAGTGTCACAAGTGAGCAAGCTTATCTCTTTTCTGAGTGGACAGTAAGAGCTGGAACTAGGGCACTTACATATTTTTAATTTAATACACTAGGGGAAGCTTCTGGATTTTGTCAGATTTTCCTGTTGTTCAGATGCCCCTCTAAACAGAAACAAGAATAAGGAGGTAAATCAATTGACAGACAGACTCCTCTGGGAGGAAGTGGGGCACATACAAGAAGTTGGTTTTTTGTTTTTTTTTTTTTTTCTCTTGCACATGCCCCTCTCATCTCATCATAGCCAACGACTGGTCAAAAATCTGTTTCACAAAGAAACAGATCTTAGTATCAAATTTAACTACATCAAGGATGATTATTTATTTAAATAAAGTCAGTAAAAGCCTTACCACAGCAGAAAGCGTCCAGGGCCCAAATATTCCCCCTTCTCCAAAGACTGGCTCAAAGAAGGGTATGATGAACAACAACATAGCCGAGGACATTGGTGCCTGATAGTACAGCAACTGCATAGAGTTTACCTGCAACTCATGCTGCTTAGCTCCTACCCACTAAAACCAAAAGAGAATGCTGTTAAACATGAGGAAAAAAAAACCACATAAATGGGAAACTTGAGCAAAAGTAAAATGGGTCCTAACACAGAGGGAGTCTCATGAGGACAATACTACATAAACGGACTGCTGAGCATCGTCTTCCACCTTTGCCTAGCTAGAGGCCTACACGTTTGTCTCTTGTGAGCACGCAAGCTGTAGAGCGCAGTCACATGAGGAAGAAAGCGTATGCAGGGACAGTGAAAACCCCCTTATGTGCCTAAACTTTCCTTTTCCCGTAGCCTAGGGGTAAGGTATTATACTTGAGGAAGAACAAAAAAATAGGAGACCTGGGAAGAAAATGCCAGCTGCCTTTTATTCTCGAGACAAATTCCAGATCCTGTCTGTGATGGAGCTGAGCACCTTTGGCTAAGCAGAGATCTGCTTTTGCTCCTTCTCGTGTTCCTTCACACAGAAGCTAACAAAACCAGTAAACGTTTGGCTTTTTTTTTTTTGCCAGCTTATTCCAAATTTACTGGATTTCATTTCAATATTGACTACAACTGTAGCATGCTTTAAGAGACAACATTAGTTATCTATGGATACAAAGATAGATGCTATAGGCAAAAGGATGCAGCTTTATGTTATACTGAAGAGCGATGTTTACATTAATACTTCATAAATCACATTCACGGGTAACATGGATTCCAGCGTATACAATATAAACTTGCTAAGTGCTTGTTTTTTTGTTTTGTTTTGTTTTTTAAAAAACTACAGGGTAATTTCACTCAGGTACTATCATTTCTCCAGTACACACACTATCACCTAAGGTTGCTATGCAGCATCTCCCTCCTCCTCCTCCTGCCCCAAAATGGGAAGAGACCATTATTTATCATCTTGCACGCTACAGGTCAAAGAGCCTCACTTCTTTTGGAGGCACAGTACCTCTGTTACAAAGAGATTCACCCTTAAATTGACGATGACTATCCTGTCAACGTAACAGGGGACCCTTATTAGGGTGGCTTTTACAATCATGGCCAATAACAAGCTGATCCTGAGCTGTTAGTACAATGTTACAGTGGAAAGGGCTAAGGCAGTCCTTGGATGCGTCTATTTTTTCAACCATAATCAGCCAGAAAGGTTATATTGTGCCTATATTTGGCATTAGTGCACCCTTGACAGAAACAGCCCAGACTGTGCATAGTTGAAATTGAAGAAGGATGCTGATAAAAATGTAAATAGCTCAAGGATAAACCATGGGATTAACTGAAGGACTGGAAAATGTCCTTTACAGGGAAATGCCCAGATGCAAGGCACTTGCTTCTGCAAGGAGAAAATCCGTGCTCTCTAGAAAACGGAGTTTTACCCATGAAGCGATCTTTATCCCTTGAAAATACGCTCACGACCACGTTAAAGCTGACATCCCAATTTTTAGCAGCAAGGACGATCAATTCCTTAAACAATTTACCAGGGGTTGTGGTGGATTATCACAATTTGGGTTTGGTTTAGTTTTTGTGTTTTGTTTTTTTTTTTTTTTTTTTTTAAATAAAT